CCAATGCTCCACTGTTGGAGAAATAATTTAATGCTTTGAGATGTATAGGCTGGCCCATTACCTGTTTTAATTTCCAGTGGTACCCCCATAGGTGCAAAACAGGACAGCCAGTGATGCTTAACGTCTTTGGCTTTTTCTTTGGTAGCAGCGGTTGCATGTAGAAAATTGGAATGGGTATCCATAGTAACATGTACCCACTGAAATCGACCAAATGATGGAATATGTGTTACATCTGTTTGCCATAAGGCATTAGGGGATAAACCCCGAGGATTGACTCCTGCTGATGTGGGAGTCCCTCCGGAAAGTTGGCAATCTGGGCAAGCCTTAATAATATCGGGCTTGCGAGAGGGTCAAATGAAGGTTTTCATGAGTGCGCGAGCATTTTGGTGAAAAAAGGCCTGTGAGCACTGCGCTTGCTGAAATGCAAGGGTTGTCGCCATGATGGCATCCGCCTGTTGATTTCCTTGTGTCAAAGGTCCGGGGAGCGTGGAATGAGATTGACTGTGGGTTATAAAAATAGGATGATTTCATTGGTCTATTAAAGCTTGGAGAGACAAAAATAAGGTTAATAGATGTTGATCAGTTAAAGGCTTAATAAAGGCTTGTTCTAATCTTTGTAACACTTCAACTACATACTGTGAATCACTAACTATATTTAAGGGCTCTTCTGTAAAATGTTGAAGAGCTAATGTTGCAGCCCGTAATTCAGCAGGCTGAGTTGACCCAGGCTCAAGGCTGCTGATATTTTTCCATTCCTTATTTTCTTTCCAGGCGATTCTTGCTTTGTGAGATTTATCTGATCCATCAATGAATATAGTTCTAGCCCAAGGTAATGGGGTATTACTGATTTTTTGCACCAAGTTAAGGTGTAACTGAGGAGTATTTTGCAAGAATTTATTTGCTAGAAGAGAGTAATTAATTTCTCCAATGAAATCTGCTAGAGCTATTTGAAAGTTGCCTGGGCAATCAAAGTGGTAAATTGTTCCTGAGCAAGAGGCAAAGGTAGAATCTGAGGGTCATACCCTGTTAGTTCTTCTGTTCTTTTTCTACCTTTGGCTATTAGATTGGCTGACTGTTCCACAAATGGAGTTATTGTTTTAGATGGGGTAGCTGGGAGAAAGATCCATTCAAGATATTTTATTTCAGGTGTTAATTGTCCTATTAATGCTGTAGGATATGGTGCAGTTATATAAACAAATAGTCTCATAGGGTCTTTTAATGACCAACAATGAGGTTGTCTGGTTTGTATTTGAGTAGTTATTTCTTTACATTCCTGTTGCGCCTCTATAGATAGAGTTCTAGGTGCATTTAGTGCTGGATCACCTTTGAGAGTATTAAATAAATGAGTTAACTGTTGAGTAGTGATACCAAGCATAGGTAGAAGCCAATTGATGGCTCCCAGTAATTTTTATAATTCATTTAAAGTTGTCACTTTGACTGGAGTGGTAAGTTTCTGGGGGCGAATAGTTCTTGTCCCTAATATCCACCCTGAGTATTGCCAAGGTTCTAATTGCTGTACCTTGTCCTGCCTCTTTTAAAGTCTCCTGATTTAATTCTTTTGGGGTAGAGGTAGCTAATAAAATATCACTCATATGATGGTAAAGATAAATGGCAGGAAATAGTCTCTTTACTGGCTCAATAGCACGATGAACATGGTATTGACAAATTGTGAGACTATTTATCATTCCTTGAGGTAGTACCTTCCATTGAAACCGTTGCATAGGTTTACTATTGTTAACGGAGGGAACAGAAAAAGCGAATTTCTGTCTGTCTGTAAAGAACCAAAGGGATAGTGAAAAACCGATCTTTAAGATCTGTAACAATCACATGCCAACTTTCAGGAATCATTGTAGGATTGGGGAACCCAGGCTGTAACGCTCCCGTGGGTTCTATAATAGCATTGACTGCTCTCAAATCATGTAGTCATCTCCATTTTCCACCCTTTTTTAGGGATTGCAAAAATAGGAGTGTTCCAGGGACTGACTGAAGGTTCTAGAAGACCTGCTTCTAACTGCCCTTTCACTAAACTGCTTGCATGTGACACTTTTTCCCCTTTTAAGGGCCACTGATCAACCCACACTGGCTCTGTTGTCTTCCAGGCCAACGAAAGGAGGGGAATTTTACCAGTGACCCCTAGCCAGAAGGCTGGGTTTGAATAACCATTCCCCATTGAGAGAATATCCCTTCCCCCCAAATTTAGGGGAGACTCCATGACATAAGGTTGAATCCATCCTTTTTGTCCTTCTGGACGAGTACAGGAAAGGGAGCCAGGACTTTGTTGAGGAGCTTGAGTTCCTCCCACTCCGGTAATTATTAGGGGTACCGGGGCTTTAGTTCATTCCTCAGGCCGTTCCCGTGTTGTTATAATAGAAATGTCTGCCCCTGTATCCACTAATCCTGAAAATAGTTGCCCTTGTATATTAATGGAGAGCAAGGGCTTTCTGGTGTTAATAGCCGCAGCCCAGAGAACATCATACTGACCAGTGCTCCCAAGCCCTGCATTCCCTCTTATTGTGGAGGTGGCTCCTGGAACCCAGTAAGGTAACAAAAGGAGTTGAGCTCTTTGGGTACCCGGTGTTAATACATGAAAGCCCACAGCCTTAAGCATGACTTTAATTTCTCCTTCAAAATCTGAGTCAATTACCCCTGGCATCACTTTATATTCCTGTCATTGTTAAACTAGACCTTCCAATCACTAAACCTACTTTCCCCTCCGGCAAGGGGCCATACACTCCTGTAGGAACTGAACAAACATCATCAGACTCCTTAAGGGTTAATTCTGTGGTGGTGATAAGATCCAGGCCGGCACTTCCTGCCATGGAGGCTCGGAGGTCTCCAACTTCCGTTTAAACTTCCACGTGGTGAATTGGGCCGGCGTCAACACTGTTTTTACTAGCGCTGTCCAATCCCAGGGAGTCATCAGATAACTACCAGCTATTCCCTCCAACATTCCTATAGTAAAGGAACTTTGCAAACTATTCTCCTTTATTTTGTATTTTTTTTATCCTCCCCCGAGGAGATTTCTCCATTTTTTGTTCAGATAAAGTGGGAGGGAGAGAGAGGAAGGGAGAGAGAGAGAAACATCGACGTGAAAGGGACACATCGAGTGGCTGCCACCCGCACGACCAACCAGGGCCAGGAACAAACCGCAACCGAGGTACATGCCCTTAGCGGGAATTGAACCCGGGTCTCTCTGGACCGTAGGCCAATGCTCTAACCGCTGAGCCAAACCGGCCAGAGCAGACCGTTCTCCTTTATGCTTTGCCTGAATTCTTTAAAAACCCGACAGGGCAAACATTCGTGCACAGGTTGTTGACCTGGCTGTATCACAGCTGGGAAAGCCCCAAGGTCGTGGCTTTCCTGGCCTCTGTAAGACAGCCCTCCACTGTAGGGCGTGGTGCGGCTAAGAAACCGACCACAAAAGGTGGAGAAGGGGGAGGAAATCTTTCCCTTTTTGGTGACCATGAGAGGGCGGTCGGCTCCGGAGTTTCCTCCGAAGGGGAGGTTGGAGCCGACACACTGCTGGGACTGATCTCCTGAGTCAGCTGCTGCAATGCTGTAAATACCAGTCACGATAAAAGAAGGGTCGAGGTGGAAATTTTACACCCTGAATCTTTGTGCACCCTAAAAGTTTCCCCTACTTTGAACCACATGTCAGAATCCGATGTGCCCGCCTGAGGGAACCACGGGCAGAACTCCTGTACGTCCCTCCAAAGCTGCAAGAGCTTCGGCTCCGGTGCAGAGCACAGAGCCGCTTTCAGCAGCTGTTGTAAGACTCACGAATAAAGTCGCTGATCTTTAGAAAATCTCGACCCCATGCTGCTTACTGGAAATCCCTCGGACACTACATATGCTGGCAGCTGTCCCAAGCCAGGCACCGCTGGCCTGAGAAACTCTTTCTCGAGTGAAGTTTACTTTGGATCCAGATCGCTAATTCCCTTTTGCATACCGTTGCGTTGCTGGTCACATCAAATCTCGCCACTGTGTACCCCAAGTCACATCTGGGGGGTCACCACTTGCCATTTCTCAGCCTTCCGGGATCGGTGCAATGCAATGAAACTACAAGCACACGCTGCTTGGAGTGAGGGGGAGCTCTGCAAGGGAGCAAATGCTCCAGATCTCTGGACACAGTCCCATTTATTTGTAGATTGGTACCCCCAGGTTACAAGTGAATTTATGTAAATTGTTTCCTTGAGATGGCGTTTCTGCAAACCATATACCCTAGCTTTGTTTCTTGCTTTTTAAAGGAAGAGACTTTGCAGCCAAAAGATAACAAACTCTTATTCACATGCAAATGAAGCACTCAACGCACCTGGGCAAGCCAGGTTTCCGAGAATTCATTAACACAAAGTTGAGAATGCATTAACACAAGGTTACAAAACGTCCATCTTCCAACCCCCCAACCCCACATTATTCTAGTGGTGATTCTTTTCCTGTCTTTTTATTGTATAATCTATTGCTTATGTTTAAACTCCAGGTCCTAAGCAAACCTCCACGCAACTGCAGGGTTTACTGTAGCCGTGGGAAAGTGCTGTGGTCTCTAAGCCTCAATTCCCTTAGATTGGAAAATCAGGTTACAATAACGGTAGCTACCACCTAAGGTAGTTTTGAGAATGAAAAAAATTGTGCTTGAAAAGCATTTAGCATAAAACCTGACATAGAGGATTCACTGATGAGAAGTTATTGATGATAATATTATTAATAATGCCAGCTGCAATATTGGTTCATTCATTATTATAATTTCTTTCTCCCTGTCTCCTCTTCTAAACTGCTGATTTCAGAAATGACCTTATCTGGACCAAATTTTATGTGTTTCCTGAAGGTAAATGCCAATCTTACCTGGATTAATGGAAAATAAACCCAAAACACTCGGTAGCACCTTAGGTCCTGTTACTGTGTGATTACCGGCGCCAGTAACTGATTTTGTGCCCCGAGGCAATTCTAATGGCGTGCCCTCTCTTTACCCCTCCGATGCCTTGACCGACCTGCCGTGGACACAGAGGAGAAGGCCAAGAAGGAGGCCGAGGAGAAGGCCCGCCTGGCTGCGGAGGAGAAGCAAAAGGCATTGGAAGCGGAGACCCAGGCAGAAGGCGCAGCTGGCAAGGTGGATAAGAAGACATCTGGGGACGCTCGGAACCACATCAATGGAGCGCGCCCCAGCAAAAGTGACAGCTCCCGTGGTAAGAACTCCAAGGCTGAGCAGTCATCCGGAGAAAAGCAACAGAACGGTGAGTGGAATCACCCCGGGAACAGCTCTTTTCGGGGCGTTAATGATGCGATGGGAGGAGACTGCGGACCACTGCGCCCGCCAGTGAGGACAGCCCACAGGCCAGGGCTTCCCTGTGGTCAAGCTGCTGCTGCTGCTCCCGCCTCCCTGGGCTGTGGGCCCCTCAGCATCCCGGCCGAAGCTGGCCCAGGCCGTTCTCTCTGGGGGAGATGTATTCCTCTGGGGCCCTTTCCTGCTGTTCTGGAGGCCGACCAATGCCTGCCCACTGGGGAAATGACCTGAACGATCCCAGCGCATTCCTGAGTGCTTAAGGCTACCGCGGGTGACTGCAGAGTCAGTCTCCCATGTCTGCTGTCCCTTAGCAGGGCCGGCCCTCAGTCTGCCCACAGCAACTTCCCATCCTGCGCGTCCACAGGTCCGTAGCTGAATAAGGGTATGCGTGGGGGTAACCAGCCAGCCCAGTTTTCCTGGGATGGAGGGGTGGCCTGGGATGCAGGCCTTTTCATTTTAAAACTAGAACCGTTCCAGCAAACTGGAATGAGCTGGTCCCCAGACTGCAAAGAGCTGCTGATGTCTCGTATGTAACGCAGCAAGTTATAATTCACAACTCTGTACCAAGTCCTGCGCTCGGCGCCCGGGGTGCAGACATCCTGGGAAAGCCACCAGAAGTCCAGGAATTCACAGGGGAGGTAGACCTCCTCAGAAGTAATTCTGGGACACTGTGAGCAAGTAACGGTGGTGGCATCCCAAGGGACACGGGCAAAGAGACATCGGCTTTATTGGATTGGAGGATTGTGGGGCGGGGCACCTGTCAAGAAAGGCATCAAGAGAAGGTGATGTCTGAGCTGTGTCTTCCGTCCTGAAGTTTTCTGGGCGGATGGGAGACAGGGACTCCTCGGCCAGAGAGAACAAGATGAGCTAGGACACAGGGGTGTGAAATGGGTTACCTTGCTTAGGGAAGGGCGGGAAGTTCAGTCTCTGGTGGTTTCAGGTGCCGGGTTGCGACAAGGGAATTTTGCAGTCGGACGTACCTGGATTCAAGCCATAGCTGTGCTTCTCACTTCTTGGCGGCCTTGGCTGGGTTTCTTAACCTTCCGCTCTGTAGAATGTGCATGCGCCGCTCATGAGATTTCAATAATAATGACAGTGGAAATGATGACGGTAAAACAATAGCATCTGTTAACTGGACACCAGGTGCAGTTCATCTCTCCTTACATTTTCATGTTCTTACCTGCCTGGTAGGCCCAGATGCTCTCGCTACTGTTCTTCAGCCTGAGCAAATGATTACTATGTAGAAAGCACTTAGCACAATTCTCTCCAATTATTTTTCCAATTGACACATATAAACGTGTAATCAGAAAACAATATTTAGTTTATTTATTTCTCATTATACACAAAGAAAACCTTTATTATGCAATAAAAATGATTTATATTTATAACGCATTTGTCAAACAAAATATTTATTTTATTTGTTTATTGTTGAAAGTATTACAGATGTCTCCCCCTTTTTTTCCCCATTGACCCCCACCTCCCTGCTCCCACTCCCCTCCTGCTTTCCAGTGTTTAATACATATGTTACTGATAATATCTCATGTCGAGTTCCGAGAAGGTTGCATGAGTTGCCCCAGGTAACCCCCATGACCCCCGTAAGAGTCAGGACAGGCTGCTGTCCCACACAGTCAGCCCCTCAGCAGCCTGGTTCCAGGAACTGCTTGTAACCACTTTGCTTTGTATTCAAGGGCGTCGTAGTCCAGAAAATATGCTCAGTTCAATGAGAATTCATGATACACCTGTTGGAGTTTTAGAGAGCTATGCAGAGCACCCTTCTCTTCCCCTCCCACGGGCAGAACCAGCCCAGAGAGGGACAGCAGGCTCAGAAAGTTACTGGTCAGAACCCGAGCTCCGCTGTAACTGGAGCTGCATTGGAGAACGTGGGCTCCTTCGGACACCTGCTGTGAACTGAGCCAGCCAGCCGGACCTGGCAGAGTGGGTGGGCTCAGGACCCGCCCCTCAGCTCCACCCAGCACCCCAGCAGGCTGCTCCGGAGGGACAGAAAGAGTGTGCGTCTCATGGAAAACACCCCAGAAGGGGGGCTGGGAGCTGGAGAAACGGGTGCGTGGGCTGAGCTGTGCACACCCTTCTCCTTCCAGACGAATCTCCTCCCCGAGGAGGGGTACCCACGGCTGGTGAGAGGCAAGGTGTTTCTTCCCCACGTTTTTTATTTTAGGAGAGTGGGTTAAATATGTCTTTCCCTTAATAAAAACAGCCAGTATAATATCACTAACATTTGATGAATGCTCACCACATCCCAGACCTCGTGCCAGAGAGGTCACATTCACCAAATCCTTTAAAATCCTAACCATGCTGTGCGGCTCAGTGCATCCCCAGTTTGCAGGTGAGGACACAGATCCAGAGAGGTCAGATCACTTGCTGAAGGTCAAGCCACCACAAGTAGAGTTTTCAGGTCAAATTCGGGTCCACATGCGTCCAAGTTCCATACCAAGTCAGCACCAAGTTCCTACCGTGTGCACATTTCGGTGTTGCCGGGGAGAGGAAGACAGAACCGCTGAGACCCAGCTGCTGTCCGCAGAACCGTGGGATCGGCTCACGTGGGGGGTTAACACTCTCCAGTCGAGGACCAGAGAGTCAGCACGCTGAGCCTCGCGGCCACACGGGCTCTGTCGCTGCCGCTCACGCTGCTGTTTCCGGAAGGCCACCGCCTGCAGTGCGCCCACCGGCGATGTGCCCATAAGGCTTTACTGATGAAAAAGGAAATGGGAATGCTGCATAATTTTCACACGTCATGAAATAGTCTTTTGTTTTCCCCTCAACCATTTAAAAATGTAAAAACCATTCTTAGTTTGCAGGCCCTGTGAAACCAGGGTGTGTGTGGCCCTCGGGCCGTGGTTTGCCAACCCCTGGCCTGGTCAGGGGCGGAAACTGATGGACACAAGCGTGCTGGTCACCAAGGGGGTTAGACATTCGGTGAGGGAGGTGCGGCCCATGCCCAGAGAGGGCGGCGGTGGCGCTCATGGCTTCGGAGATGATCAGGGGACCCGGAAGGAACGGGCTGGCGTCTGAGTCATCAGCTGGGCTGGGCGAATTTCACCACTGCGTTGATTTCCCAGAGTAAGCCGTCGCCTACCATTTCCCTTAAAAACGAAATCTGAAATGAGAGGTGGGAAAAGAAATCAATTTCGAGCAATAATCAGAAAGGCTAATGGCGGTTCGGGACTGTGTGGCAGCAGCCTAATTAAAATGATTTATAACAACACAGACGGGCTCTTCTGTTCCCCTTGCTCACTGAGGAATAGCTCGCCGGCCATTCCTCCACATACCACCTGCGGGAAATTACCTAATACGTTGCGTTCGGGAACATCGTCAAGCAAGTGTGTGTCGCTTTTCCACACCCTTCCTCGCGGCTGCCCAAGGCATCAGGTTAGAGCCGAGAGACTCTGGTTCAGTGGGGTTCTAGGTGTTTGGTCCCCTAGCAGCAATGACAGATCTCCTAAGCTTTGGTCTCCGTCGGGGCCCTCCCCCACAGCCTCCCAGCCCTGACGGAGGGGAAGGCAGGCTGCCGCGGGCTGCTGGCCAGCATCTGGCCAACGGAGCCTCTCCTACTGGCCCCTGGAAGACATCCTGGTCTCCCTGCAGCTGCGGGCAAAGCTCCAGCCCAGGGCAACCTGGAAGGCTTAACACAGAGTGTGTTAGGGGTATGCAGGCTCACTTAGTAAAGAAAGGGCACTTTTCTGCAGGGATTTAGTTTGACTACAAGGCTCAAGACCCTTGAGTGCATCTCTGCCATCCTTAACACAGGGAGGGCCAGTCTATGGACTGCTTCGTGCTACCTCCAAAGGAGTCCATGCGTTTGACCGCTGGTGGTGGAGGGTGAGGACCACATCCTTTACTGAAACGCCTCCTGCTTGCACCTGCCTTTCCACCCCCTCCCTCCAGCCAGGACATTCTATTTCAGAATTAAGAATGGAGAAATTTGGAGTTTATTGACTTCTAACGTAGCTTAGGATTTGTCAGCTTTCATTAAAAGCTGACTTTGTAGAATACGTCACAGCCAAAAAATGGTCTTAAATTCTTCTTAGATACGCATTTATAAATCTGAAGGCTGAAGGCATTTAGAAATGGCAACGTCAACAGAAGCTTAAATCTAAAACTTGAGTGTCTTGGGGAAGTCACAGTGGTTGAGACCCCGGCCCCTAGAATCAGAGCCGTCTTTGTGTACTGTGGCCAGTTCTTTATGCTGTAGGCTGGTAGCCATACAAGAGAGATGCTGTGAGTTTCATGTCGATGCTCTACACGTCAATTTAAGCAAAATCACTTTGTAGAAAGACCAGTTGGCCATTTGTTAACAAATTCTCAGATGAATGGCTTACACTGGGTTTATGGTGGACAAGAGGAGCCGTTTGGTTGCCAGAGGGAGACCCAGGTGCAAGGCTGGGACAGAGGGGGGCAGGCGGCAGTCACTGCGCTCAGCACAGTGGACTGACCGAGGTGTGACCGGGAGGCTACAGTGCAGTGAACACGTCCTCAACCCTTCGGTGAGTTTGCTATTCAGCCGGTTGGTCCCTTAGGGAAGCACACGCTGGCGACTTGGTCTCCTTGCGATGAGAGCACCTTCACAATGGCGTTGCTGTGTGAACTGACTGAAGGGTCACCTAGGAAGAGTTCAGCACGCTGCCTGGCGCCAAGAAAGCAAAAGAGAGCCATCTGTCTTGGGCCCTGCTTGCTCCGTCCCGGTTGCAATTATGATTAAGGTCTTTTCGATCCAGGAAGCACCAGTATTTTAGTGGTAATGTACTCTTGGTTCTATGCAGGCTCAAAGAAAGCTATTTATAATGGGTGAGAAAAGTACCCCAAACTTGAGACTAATGCTGGGGAAGGGGTGCCGTGTTTTTTTCAATATCGCGCTGGCATATGTTGAACAGGCCTGCCCAGGGATTGTTTCTCTTAGGCAGGGGTCGGCAGCCTTTTCCTGTGAAGGGCTGGATAGTAAACAGTCCTGACTTTGTGCGCCTCTGTTGTAACTACTCCACCCTTCCAGTGCTGCTGGAGAGCAGCCCTGGACTCTGTGTAAGCAAAGGCCTGGCCATGTTCTAATAAAACTTTATTTACAAAAACAGATGGCGGGCCAGATATGCTCAGGGGCCATAATTTGCTGACCCCTGGTCTAGGAGGGCATAACTTTGAGTAAATTTGTCATTTACTATTTGATTCAAGTCCAGGTACAGTGAAGTTATATGCTAACTTGTAGATTTTTGACTGGAGAGGAGATAACCCCAAGGGTTATGCCGTTATTGCCTTGTAGGAGATAACCTGTTTGTCTCTAACCTAGCCATCTTGTTTTAACAGACTTTTAAAATACCTATGAATACCCAGTTCCTTAAATACTTCTGGAGACCTGGCCAGTTTGGCTCAGCGGTTAGAGCATTTACCTGCAGTCCACAGAGACCCGGGTTCGGATCCCGCTAAGGGCGCGTACCTCGGTTGCAGTTTATCTCTGGCCCCGGTTGGGGTTGTATGGGTGGCAGCCAGTCGATGTGTCTCTCTCACATTGATGTTTCTCTGTCTCTCTTCCTCCCTCTCTCCCTCCCGCTTTGTCTGGAGATAAATGCAAAAATGTCCTCGGGTGAGGATAAAAAAAAAAAATTAAAAAAATAAATAAATACTTCTGGAGCCATCCTTATTGTCTCCCTCATTCCCTCATAAATATAATTTTTTGACGTTTTCATTCTACATCTGTATGCATAGTGTTTTTAAACTTTCACGATTACATTTCGACGAGCTCCTTAATGAGAATGCCACTTAGAGCTCTCTCTGTTTTAGAATAACAACAACTGTCAGTGAGTGACGTGTCAGATTCCACATTCAGTACTTGTAATGCATTTGTCCATAGATTATGCCTATAAGGTAGATATTAATATCCCCATTTCACAGATAAGGAGACTGAGGCACATAAAAGTTGAAAAGCTATTCACTGACATCACTTACATTTAACCAAAGCTTTTCCTCACTCCACAGCCTAACAAAGTTCAACTGCCTTTCTTGAGGATAAACACCACTGACTTAAGTACAACCCTGTTTAGCAGGAACTTTCAGTCACAGTTTGCAAGTCATAAACCAATATCCAGGACCGACTCTGTGGTCTGAAGGGTGCTTACGCTCAGACAGGTACCCCCTCGTGACTAAAATGATGCTATCTTTTTTTGCCATTTTTACCTTGACAGGTTTAAAGATATTTCTAACTTCCTCCTTAGGTGTCTATATATTCTGTTTTTGTTTATTACTTGCAGGTGACTTGAAAGATGGTAAAAATAAGGCAGACAAGAAGGATCCATCCAGTGTCGGAAATGACTCCAAGAAAACAGATGGTAAGGTCACAGTTCTCATTACGTTTTCCCATAAATGTGCCATTTCATGCCAGCTCGTTAGAATTTTACCTAAAATTGAAATTGGGGTTGTTACTATATCCTTATATGATACCTTGAAAAAACACTTCACGCATTTGAAGAGTACTGTTATCCATTTTTCAATAACTTACAAATTATTGTTGTATCTCCTCCCCTCCACCACACTTTCTCCATCACAAATGTATCCTTTCCCCTTTGTCGTTTCTCACTGTGAACTTTGTAAGAATTTGATCTGGACGCACTGGTTCTAAGGGACTGGAATATGAGTCTTCGATCGTGGATGGTGCAGTACAAGTGGAAGATGTTCTGTGTTTTCAGTTTTTGCATTTTTTACCTTTAATAAGTGACTAGTGTTGGTAAAAACAAACACAGAAATCTGTCCAATACGATCACGATGTCGGGAGGCCCGCACGCTGGAGGACGGGCGTGGCTGCGAAACCCGGGGTGACCACCCCCACCAGCCAGGACGGCCTCGTAGCCTGCTTCAGGAGCACACCTTTCCCTCTCCACAAACAGCAGCCCGCTCGTTCTAAACCCTGCAAGTTCTAATTGTATTTCCCTTCCAGCTCGGAGCTCTCAGACAGAAAACTGCTCTCGCTGTTTACGTAAATCTTGTTCGGTTGTAGCACGAGCTGTCTCGTGATTCCCTCAAACATGGGCTTGATGCTACACTAAAAAGGAAAGTTTCCAGGGAGTGGATTTTGTTAGAGACCCAGACCTGTGAACCCTGCCTCCCTGGAGACATTGTATGGATGCTAAGCCCTTTGAATAGTTCGGTTATAACACCGTTGAGGAGCCAGAGCTGCGTGGCAGGTTGAGGAACAAGGAGATATTTGAATACAGCTTCTCACACACACGGATATGCAGGAAATCAGTCTCAGAAATTTCCCTGAAGATCAAGTAATTTAGTCCAGATGTCTTATCACAGAATATCTACAAAGACACAACGGCAAGTTTTTGCCAAGTTGTGCAAACGAAAACTGCTTACCTAGTAAATATACCATCCTTGAATGATGGTCACCATGAGTTACATGGAGATAATATAGAATGCAAATGACTGTCCCTTACCAGACTTTGTTAGGGGTAAGGTTTGTCCAGATACTAGAGGCTTTTTGCCAGACCCAAGTCAAGGTAACACAAGTCAGAAAACGTATAGTAGAGGAGAATGGTATTAGTTCTAAATACACTGCTTGAAAGCCTGGCCTGTCCCGTACCCAGTGACGTGGGCCCTCTGAATTCCTACAAGAAGAAGCCCAAAGTAAACCAAGTCCCAAATTCTAACACGGAGTCTAGAATTTTGTAAATGTTTGTGCTACAAATATCTGTTATAACGTTGTCATGTGGGCATTGGGACTGAATTTTATTATCTCCATTAAGTGCTTTTATTTTACCTGTGCCTTTTTTAACCAAACTGCCCCTCTCCCAAAAACTATGTCACTATTTTAATAATTTTTGAGAGGGTGTATCCAAGCACAGTTCAGTGTCCAGTGTGATCAAAGCCCCTGGGTTTTGAAGTTTCGACATTGTATACATTTAGAAAGAAATTCAGTGGAAGGTGAACCAGAGCTGATTGGTCCCAAACTCCAATAAGCTGAGGCACACAAAGAGGGAAGGAGCACGTGCTGAAAAGGTGAATTACATCCTGGCATAGTGAACACCTTGCACTTGTGTATTCCTCTGTCAGGCTGCCGAGGTATTTTAGTGCCCCACTATTTAGTGCCCTACTATTTAGTGCTCTACAGCACTGCTTTCTAACTGACTTCAAAGAATGAATGATACACCCGATAAGGGGTCAATTTCCAAAATTTACAAAGAACTTGTACAACTCAACAGCAAGAAAACAATCCAATTTAAAAATGGGCAAAAAGCCCTGGCCGGTTTGGCTCAGCGGTTAGAGCGTCAACCTGCGGTCCTGAGAGACCCAGGTTCAGTTCCTGCTAAGGGCATGTACCTCGGTTGCAGTTTGTCCCCGGCCCTGGTCGGTCGTGCGGGTGGCAGCCACTCGATGTGTCCCTTTCACGTCGATGTTTCTCTCTCTCTCTCTGTTCCTCTCTCTCCCTCCCACTCTACCTGAACAAAAAAATGGGAAAATGTCCTCGGGTGAGGATTAAAAAAAAAAGGGCAAAGGACCTGAATAGACACTTCTCCAAAGAGAAGTGTCCAAAGAGGGTGTGCAGATGGCCAATGCTCAAAATCACTAATCATCAGAGACATGCAAATGAAAACCACAATGAGATATCACCTCTGCCTGTCAGAATGGCTAAATAAATCAATCTACAAACACCAGGTGTTGGTGAGGATGTGGAGAAAGGGAGCCCTCTTGCACTGTTGGTGGGAATGCAGCCATTGTGGGAAACAGTATGGAGTTTCCCCCAAAAAGTTAAAAACGGAACTGCCTTATGGCCCAGCAATTCTACTTCTGGGAATGTATCCGAAGAAACCTGAAACACCAATTCAGAAGAATTTATGCAGCACTATGTTCACTGCAGCGTTATTTACAATAGCCAAGATTTGGAAGCTTCCCAAGTGCCCATCAGTGGATGAGTGAATAAGAAAGCCATCGTCCATTTATAGAATGGAATATTACTTGGCCATTAAAAAGGAGGAAATCTTATATTTTGTGACAGGGTGGAGGGACCTGGAGTGTATTATGCTAAGTGAAATAAGCTAGTCAGAGAAAAGACAAGCACCTTGTGATTTCATTTATATGTGGGATCCCAGAACAAGACAAACTGACAAAATGGACACTGACTCACAGATACAGAGAACAGACTGACAGCTGTCAGAAGGAGGGAGTTTGGGAAGCTGGAAGAAAAAGTGAAGGGATTAAGCAAAGACAAGAACAAAACGCATGGACACAGACAGACAACAGTATGGCGATTGCCAGAGGGAAGGGGGGTAGAAGAGGGCAGAGGGGGTAAGTGGTGAGGGAAGGGGGGTTTTTTAAGTCATATTTGAAGCAACCGAGTCTTGGACCTGTCATAAGTTTTATTGCTGCCCTGAGACAGGGACTTGCCCTTAACTTGCCTATATTAACAAAGATATGAGACAGCCATTGTTTGTGTCTCTTAAAAGATTGAGTAAGCCCTGGCTGGTTTGGCTCCGCGGTTAGAGCGTCAGCCCAGGGACCAGAGAGTCCCGGGTTCAGTTCCCACTAAGGGCATGTACCTTGGTTGCAGTTTGTCCCTGGTCCCGGTTGGAGTCGTGTGGGTGGCGACCACTCAATATGTCTCTCTTACATCGATGTTTCTCTCTCTCTTCTTCCCTCTCCCCCTCCTGCTCTATCTGAAAATAAATGCAAAAATGTCCTTGGGTGAGGATGAAAAAAAAATTGATTAAATTTCTTTAAATTGATCTATAGGATTCATGTAATCCCAATTAAAATCCTAGCAGGCCTTTTTTTTGGCGGAAATTGACAAGTTGAGTCTAAAATTTATATGGAAATCCAAAGCACTCACAATAAACAAAGCAACTTGTAAAAAGAAGGGAAAAGTTGGCCTGATTTCAAGACCTATAGAACTATAGCAATCAAGACAGTATGGTATTAGCATCACGACAGACAGAGGGGTCAATGGAGAGTCCAGAAGAATATCCACGAACATCTTATTTTTGACAAAGGACATTCCATGGAGAAAGGAAAGTCATTGACAAACAGTGATGGAACAACTGGGTGTTCATACGCAAAATGATGAACTATCTATACTTCCCATCAGATACACACATTAGCTTAAAACAGATCATGAAGTAGATTATTAACTGAAAATGATCATAAAATGGAGCATAAACCTAAATTTAAAATGTAAAACTACAGAACTTCTAGTTAAGAACACAGAAGAAACTCTCTGTGGTCTTGGTTTAGGCAAAGATTTCCTATGTATGATAATCAAAGTACAAACCATAAAAGAACAAATTGATAAGTTATACTTTATCAAAATTACAGGCTTCTCCAACTTCAAACGCATCTTTAGGAGAATGAAAAGATAGTCCACAGAGAGAGAATACTTTCAAAAGAATATTTTATTTCTTCTTCTATGCTGGATACAAGTCAATCTCAATATTCACTGAAAAGAAAACAAACAACTCAAGTAAAAACATGCAAGAGATTTAAACAGCTAGCAAATAAGCACATTAAAAGATCATTGAAATCATTAGGGAAATGCAAATTAAAAGCCAAATTAAAAAACCATATGGAGAGAGAGCAAAACAAAACGAAGCTGACATGGGGAGAGAAGGTTTTATACTTGTGTATTATATTCACATATATACATTTGTATATACACTTGTATGTACATGTATATTTGCAGAATAATCTCTCAGCTCTCTGCTTCCCTGTGCCTGTCAGGGCACAACTTGGTGGCTCGTTTCCTCCATGAGGAAATGGTAACCCTTATAGTCACTCTTTCTGAATATTTCTCAAGTTGCTTATATCCTCTTTAGGGTCTCCTCTTTAGGAAAAATGGAAGAGGCAGTAGAACCAATATTTGTGTTAATTAGCATAGAACAACTAATTGTGATTTAAAATTGCTGTATACATTAGAGGATTTTGCCTGTGATTTGGTTTTTTTTCACAAGACTGATATCTCATGACCTTGACTTGGTAAGGAGTTCACAAGCGTCACCTGAAGAAATGCATGTGTTTTGCGTGTTTTCCTTCTGGCTGACCCCTACCAAGTTAGTTTGAAATGTAATGAATACTTTTTTCAAATGCCTTTCATTCTATATAATGATACAACAAGTTACTGATTAACAAAACAGTGGAAGGATATGGTCTGAACCTTTACACTTGAGATGTAAAAGATAGCATTGTTATTTTTAACGAAAGTTGAAAAATGTGTGTTACTTGCCTGAGGGCAGGGCATGACGACTTGCTGTGCGGTGGTTGGTGGTGAGAGGTAGATGGGGCCTGTGCAGTCGGGAGGCGGAGCCTGTGCAGTCGGGAGGCGGGGCCTGTGCAGTCGGGA